GAGGGTAAACATGGAAGTAGCACTGAGGGTAAACGTGGAACTACCACCGACAGTAAACATGGGGAGTACCACCGAGGGTAAACATCAGGAGTAGCACCGAGGGTAAACATGGAAGTACCAACGAGGGTAAACATGGAAGTACCACCGAGAGTAAACGTGGAAGAAGCATTGAGGGTAAACCTGGAAGTAGCACCGAGGGTAAAAATAGGGAGTACCACCGAGGGTAAACGTGGAAGTAGCACCGAGGGTAAACGTGGAAGTAGCACCGAGGGTAAACGTGGAAGTACCACCGAGGGTAAACGTGGAAGTAGCATCGAGGGTAAACATGGAAGTAGCACCGAGGGTAAACATCAGGAGTACCACCGAGGGTAAACATGGAAGTACCACCGAGGGTAAACACGGAAGTACCACCGAGAGTAAACATCTGGAGTACCACCGAGGGTAAACATCGGGAGTACTACCGAGGGTAAACCTGGAAGTAGCACCGAGGATAAACCTAGAAATACCAAGATGGGTAAACCTGGAAGTACCATCGAGGGTAAACACGGAAGTAGCACCGAGGGTAAACCTGGAAATACCACGAAGCATAAACACGGAAGTTCCACCGAGGATAAAAACGGAAGTACCAGTGAGGGTAAACGTGGAAGTACCACCGAGGGTAAACGTAGAAGTACCACCGAGGGTAAGMACTGAAGTAGCACCGATGGTAAACACGGAAGTACCACCGAGGGTAAACATCGGGAGTACCACCAAGTTTAAACATGGAAGTAGCACCGAGAGTAAACCTGGAAGTAGCACCGAGGGTTAACATCGGGAGTACCACCGGGGGTAAACATGGAAGTAGCACCGAGGGTACACATGGAAGTACCACGGAGGGTAAACATCGCAGTAGAACCAAGGGTAAACCTGGAAGTAACACCGAGGGTAAACACGAAAGTACCACCGAGGGTAAACGTGGAAGAAGCACTGAGGGTAAACGCGGATGTACCACTGAGGGTAAACATGGATGTAGCACCGAGGGTAAAMATGGAAGTACAACCGAGGGTAAAYAGGGAAGTACCAATGAGGCTAAACATTGAAGTACCACCCTAACCCTAACCCTAACCCTAACGCTACCTGAAGCCTAACTCTAAACCTAACCCTAAACCTAATGCAACCCGAAGCCTAACCCTAACCCTAACCCTAACTCTAACCCTAACCCTAAACCCTATACCCAAACCCTAACGCTACCCAAAGCCTAACCCTAATCCTAAACCCTAACCCTAACCCTAACCCTAAACCTACCCGAAGACTGAACCTAACCCTAACCGTAACCCTAACCCTAACCCTAACCCAACCCTAACCCTACCCGAACCCTAACCCTAGACCTATCCCTAACCCTAACGCTAAACCCTAACCCTAACCCTAATCCTACCCGAAGCCTAACACTAACCCTAAGCCTAACGCTATCACCCTAACCCTACCCGAAGCCTAACCCTAACCCTACCCGAAGACTAACCCTAACCCTAAAACCCTAACCCTAACCCTAACCCTAAACCTAACCGAAGCCTAACCCTAACCCTAACCCTACCCGAAGCCTAACCCTAACCCTAAACCATAACCCTAACGCAACCGGAAGCCTAACCCTGACCCTAACCTTAACCCTAACCGTAACCGAAGCCTAACCCTAACCCTAACCCTAAACCTAACCCTACCCGAAGCTTAACCCCAACCCTAACCCTAACACTAAGCCCTAACCCTAAACCCTAACCCTAACCGAAGCCTAACTCTAACTTTAAACTGAAACCCTAACCCTAACCCTAACGCTACCCGAAGCCTAACCCTAACCCTAAACCCTAACCCTAACCCTACCCGAAGGCTAACCCAAACCCTAAACACTAACCCKAACCCTAACGCTACTCGAAGCCTAACACTAACCCTAACCCTAACCCTAAACCCTAACCCTAACCCTAACGCTAACTCTACCCGAAGCCTAACCCTAACCCTACCCGAAGCCTAACCCGAACACTAACCCTAAACCCTAACCCTAACCGTAAGTCCTAACCCTAAACCCTAACACTAACCCTAACCCTACCCGAAGCCTAACCCTAACCCTACCCGAAGCCTAACTCTAACCCTAAACCCTCCCCCTAACAGTAAGCCCTAACCCTAACCCTAAACCCTAACCCTACCCGAAGCCTAACCCTAACCCTAAACCCTAACCCTAAACCCTAAGCCTAACACCCTAACCCTAAATGGCCCTAACCCTAACCCTCTAACCCTAACACCCTAACCCTAACCCTAACCCTAAACCCTAACCCTCCCTAACTTGCAGTAGCCTGCAAGTAAGGGAGGAGGCTTCTAGCTGCTTCAAAGCTGTGCTGTATTGGTAGGAGCTCAGCAGMGGGGCCACGTGGYCCTCAGCCCCTCTGAAGTGAAGAGGAAGGCTGGTGTCACCACGCTCCTCATCCCAAACAAACCATGGCTGGCCRCASGGAGCTCCTGCTCTTCCTACACACGGGCYGGGACACCGCAAATGCCAGCCTGGTAGTGACAACTGTGGCAAGTGTAAATGCCATGTGTAGGCTCCTTAGTTAGGCAGCTGAGTTTCTACATGCTAAAGAGGGTCTTAAACAAACTTTCTTAAATTTTATTGCCTAAGGACCTTGTATCAAGCAGACTTGGGAGTATGTGTCAATATACTGTAGTATGTGTCTATATACTTTAGTATATTTTAGTATATTTAGTATATTTAGTATATTTAGTATATTATAAAGCTGCAGACTTATCTGAAACAGCATTTTTTTTTTCTCCAGAGTTTTCCAACTTGGTTCAGTTTGTTAAATAACTCTGCTGACCCACATGGATGTTTCTGACAGGCAAAACTTCTTAAATATGGGCTAAAAAGCCTACATCATAACGTGCCATCTCCATTCATCATCCAGGGTCAACAGCAAGGAGGAAGAAATGTTGATATACCAGCTCTGAAACCAAGCAAACCAGTACTAACTTGATTCTCATTTTATACAAGTTTGAGCTCTGTTTTATGAAATGTGGAGTCCGAGCAATCTAAAGAGATTTAGACTAGCAATCTAAAGATTGCTAAAGATAGCAGGAAGCTTCTGGCAAAACTGCGCTACTTACTAGGGATCTGAGAACTAACAAACTTGACCCAGTCTCACATTTAGAACTGAGGGTGACGGTCAGATAGAGAAAATCTAGAAGTGATGATCAGAATGGACAGAAAACATACCGCTGTGAACTTATGAATACCATGTATTCTGGAGAAAAAGAAAGTAACTGATTTTCAAAAAATATCAGATGACATAAAAGAAAGGAAAGACTGATGGAAAACCCAGTATTGGCTCTCTCTTTGGGGTGGAAGGAGATGTATTAATGTGAATTTGACTTTCTCCTAGGCCCATCTGCTTGTCCAGCACCCGTCCTGCTTGCCTGAGGGATTGCACTGTACTGCAGTGCAGGTAGTAACCCTGCTAAACCTGAAATGCCATCAAGGAAGAAAAGGAAAGCCTGAGAACTATGCCTGTAAAATCATAATCTGATAAGTGAGGAACGAGGAAAACATGGCAGGAATTTTTAGGACCTCAAAATATTTGTAGCTCCTGCTTTGTGTATGTCACATATTATACAGAACACAGATTTATCGATCAAACTGAAGCAAAGGGCAATGACTCACATAACTCCTCATGGGCAACCTTACTAAAACAAAGCAGCCACATCTTTGAGGTAGGAATGAGTCCACCCACCTTTCCAAGGGCTGTCAGAAGATGGAAATCAATGGACTCTCTGTATCTCAGGATTCGAAGGATGCCGTCCAAGTATACCTGATCCTTATTGAAACAGCCTAAGAGGAACAAGATTTATTCCAATGCATCAGTTTGTTCAAGGTCAGAGAAAGAAAATAAGCACAAAAAATGATATATGTGAATTTCTGCAGCAGCATTCCTTGTAATAAATGTGAAAGTAGGTCAAACTGAGTCTGAATTGCATACTTTTACAGCTCCCACTTTCAACAATAACAACGATCCTTTATTGGCTCAATGTGACAGTTTCAAAAATGTGCATTTTCAGCCTTATTTTCAAAAGCATAAATCCTGTTGCCTCATTTTAGAAACTGCAAAAGGGAGAAAGGGGACAATTCAAAACCTTTAGTGCAGGACAGATGCTGAACGAGCTCTGTGCACGCTTTGGCCACATCGGTGAGGCCCAGAGARGGGTAAAACAGAGACCCACCTGGCTGTGATGTGTCTGTCCACCCTCTCTTGGCTCGTACACAATAATCCCACCTCGTGTTGGGGTCCTTGACAAACTTGCCCACGTCCTGGAAAAGCTGGCTGAAGGACATCTGGCTGGCCTGGTACACCGTGTAGTAGAGCAGGGCAGCCCTCCAGAGGAAAGGGTCCTTGCGGAACAGGACGCTGTGAATGCTGGCTAGACCCTCTTCTGTGGGGTTTATTGGCTTTAACCCATGTTTTCTACGGCCGCTCCAGTTGCACCAAGGCTGGCTGTTGTTGTTAATACCCCGAAAATAATGAGTTCCTGAAAAGAAAGGAATAGGGGACTTGAATCAGTGGATGTTACTGTTCTAAAAAAAATGATAAAATACGGGAGGATATGCTAACATCTGGACTTGTGGTAGCCCTGGGCAGTGAGAAAAGTGCTATCTTTGGCCATACCTACAACAGAACTTTGCCAGAGGCAGAAAAATCGATTGGCCCTATTCTAAATGCCAACAGTGCAATAATCCCCCTGCTGAGTGCAAGTGGGTCTTCCAAAAATGTCTAAGGAATACAAGTGTTAGTAGAATTGCAGTTCCCAAATCCATGAAAAGGAGTTTTCAAAGGTGCCTTACATGTTAAATGCCTCTAGGATAGACAAGGCTTTGGGGTGAACAGAAGTAATGGGAGAGGGTTGAGTGATGCTGCTTAGAGAGCCCTCCTGCAGCCTTGGTTGCTGTCCCCTTATAAAGTGATTAACAGTGGCTCAAGGCAATCACAGTGCATACCTCTGGGATGAAATTCTGCAATGAGGCAAGTTAATCTGGTTTTGTTTCCCTTAATTAGAACAAAATACGCTGAGAAGTTTATAGAAATTTTCCATGGGGTTGGGCCAAGTGGATGCCATCTTGCCTACATGTAGGGATGGCCAAATGCATTCCCCATACTTAAAGCATGACAACGTTAGCAAGCAGTGCAGTGTGGTAGAAGGGGTTGGTAAATGAAATGGCTAGTGCTGGGGCTGGGCAATCCCACCAGGAGTGCTTCAGGGTCTTTACTGCAGCCAATTTCAGGGCTAGTCTCACAAGCAAGATGCCAGAGGGCAGCGACAGCTCCACAGCTCTGCTCTGGAGCAGAGCTTCCATGTCAGCATCATCTGAAAGGGTTATACCTGGCCTGCTCTGAGACTGCTCTGCCAGCGTGGACCTCYGAGCAGCAGGCGGGGATGGCTGGTCGCCTGGCTTTGAAAATTCGCTCCTTATCTGACCTGAAATGCTAATATAGAAGCACCCTACGAATCTTACAGCAGATGGGGAAGTGAAACAGCACTTGGACACCGTTTTCTCCTCCTCTTCAGCAGACCTACAGCACAGGTCATTGGAAGAGGGATCTCTAGGCCAGGCGCGGACGCGGGACGCRCACAGCTGCGGTCGCGCTCATACCGATCTCATGCCTCAGCATCCCTTCCAGCCAGTGCTCTCGTGCCGTGGACATGTTGATGGTGAGGGTGGGACGGCCGTTCACCACCGTCATGGAGGCTCGAGACAGCAGGTCCTCCGTGAGATGGACCACAATCTAAAGACAAGAGAGTTCAGGTAGCACAGAGCTCCCTTCTGCTTCGTGTCTTCCTCCCAAATAGGTCATTTATGCTTCGTCCCTTGCCCTTCACAGCTCTTCCCAGTTATTGGCAGATTATCCRTGTGAAACATTTCAGAATTTATTGAGATATTCTGGCCACCTGGGCTTCTGAGAAAACCGCAGAGATCTCAGCGGGACTTAGCTGGATGGTTCATAGAGCACATATGAGATGGTAAAATTGGAATATGGTAACATTAAACATACTGGGAGTGAAAGGAATCAAATGAAGTAGGGAAAAGTAGAGAAAAATTCGTTTTTTAAAATGTCTAATAATTTTGAAAATATACGTAATTTTAAAATAGTAGATAAACACACAATTTGACTGTATTATCTGCACACTTTAGAATCTAAACTATTGGTACTACTTAGCCTTATTAAAAGCTGATGTCTCTCTTCTCTTCAAGTACAGAGAATATTTATAGCATATTTTAGACCATACCATGAGGTATTAACTGTCCTGCAGAAGAAGAGGAATGCTTGATAAAGGACAGACATAGSATATTTTATGAGGGTGTAGGTTTCTGCTTCGATAAAAGCAAACAGAGATAAAACATGTAGCAAAGGGCACAGCAAAGCACAGCAAAGACCAAAAATGTAATTTTTTTCAAGCTTGCTCTTGCTTTAAACTGTAGCCTTGAAACCTCACTGTTAGAGAAGCAGGTAAAGTTTGGCACCAAACTATCAAATTGCAGTCTCCCAAAAAGCAGTGATGAGTGTAACAATCTCTCTTAACATTAATGTGTTCACTAAAGAAACCTAATTTCCTATAAACTACTTTTTTTTCTTTTATCTGTTTCGGATTCCTCTTGTTCACTCCAATCATCCCACACAAGTCTTGCACTGTGTCAGCTGGTGTTTACATTTGCAGTAACTCTGCTTTTCTACATTCAACTTCAGCTGACTTTTCCAAACAATTCTGTGTAACTTAGTCAAACTGGGCCTTTTAAATCTTGAGTAACTCAGAAATATTTGTTTTGTTTTGCTTTGTTTTTGCATACACCTCTAGAAAATAAGGTGGAAATGAGGAAAAATACAGCACTTAAACCAATTCATCAAGTCAAAGTTTTTCAGGTGTTTTTATTCACTTACGTCACCTTCATCTGTGCAATTTCAATCTCTTGGACTCCTGGTTATTTTTCTTGGCCTTCTCGTACCTTTCTTACCTTTGGTATAAGTAACGTGAGAGAAAAGAAAGGATGGCAGAACTGAGAAATAAATGGAAATGTGCTATTGCAAACAGTTAAAAAAAAAAAAAAAGGAGAGAGGAGGAAGGGTGTTGCTCTTGGGTACTTCCAGAGGAGATGAAATGAAGAATGAGCATATATGAGTCAGGAAACGGGCTCAAAGAGATGGCTGAAGTATTCGCAAGGACCTTGCATCATCTGAATTGTTCAGAAATTCAATTGGGTACAGTCTTAGAAAAATAAGATGCAAGGAATATTCTTGTAACTATGAAGGAAGGGCCTCCCAAATGGTCTCTCAGTTCCCTTGACTGTGTTAACTTCTAACGTTGAAATAAATGCTTCTTTCCTGACCTGGTGCACGACCTACCTCACCAAGGCAGCCTTCTTTCACCATGTATTTCCTGACACGGTTCCAGATGCGGCTCTTGCTCAGCAAGCTTCCTCCCGTGGCCTGCTCAAATTTCTCATAGCTTCCGTATTTCTGCAGTGTCCGTTCCATAATGTTAATGGACTAGAAAAAACAGAAGTATAATAAATGTGACTGTAGTAAGACSCCTGTGTAACCTGGCACTCTCTCTCTTTCCCTCCCTCCCCTCTCCTTCTGTTTTCCTCTCTTCTCTTTTTGTTTTTTAACTCCCTGGGAGTCACTGTGGAATTGCAGTCCTTACATGCAAGCTGACACCCTCTGCAAYCAATTTGTATAATCTTCAGACATGCATTAATGCCAAAATCCCGAAGAAAGACTCTGATTAACTCATCTTGGACCCACATACAACAGCATGACACAGACAATTCTCAGCTTAGTGAAATGACACCTATTTTCTCTATAATTTAGGGGAAAAAAGCAATTTTGGGGAAAAAAAAGATAACTGGCTTGTAAATCAGATATAAAAGGCCATAAAGCTGTTGGAAAGTTAAGTTGTTAGCATGTTTCTTTTATGGTTTTTCAACACACTTTATAAATATCATCCATTATCATCATCTTGGTATTTCGGTATATTGTGATTTAGAAATGCTGAACCATGATTCAACAGCTGTCGAACTGTGATTTTAACAAGTCTGTTTCTATCAAAATGCCTCCTTATGATTAAATCCTATGTACCATGTGTTTCAGAAAGAGCAGAAACAGCAGAAACTTTATTTGCAGAACTTCCCTTTAAGCAAAATAKGTCTTTATAACACAAACAAGGAAGGAATTTCCACTGAGTAAATAAAGCAACAACCTATCCTATGGGTTGTTGCTGGGAGAAGTCCTTTGTGGATGGAGATGCAGCACAATCCCTGCTTTATGTCGTGAGCTCTGAACCCTGAGTGTGTTGAAGAGGTTACTCAGGGAGTGTAAAACAGTCATTTCCAATAAGCTATTTCCCAACATGTTGGTTCACACCCTTAAAAGAAATACATTATAGGATATCTTCTTACCTGGCTGTAGCCCATCGAAGGAAACCGCTATATTCTCTGATATGACAACAGAAGCTCCCAGGAACCCCAGATAAAAATATTATTGACATTGCCTTACAAAATGGATACTATTGCTAGGAAAATACCACTAATAGTGATGGTGGAAATCTCGAGGACTGAATCTCTTTCTACGCTATACAGTCAATGTATCTATATACCAAGCTGATAACGCGGTTTATTTACAAATATATATTCTTATATTATCAGATTGGCTTATTGTCCATACAAAAAAAAAAAAAAAAAAAAAAAACCAGAACTGATATTTTATCTCTTATATTTATTAACAATCCTCTTTAATTTCTTTTTTTTTTATGTTGAGATTAAGCAGCCCTCACTACTTGCCACTGAAAGCCATAAATGCTAGTTCTGATGTATTCTTCAAGTCAGCTCTTTGCAGCTCTTTAACGAAAGTAATAAACTACTTGAATATCAAATGAATAATACACCTAATTTCTGGTATTTCTGGGTTTTTTTTGCCTCTTATGCTTTGTTTTAATTTGAAGGGTCTCCTGGTCAGATCTAAGAAATTTACTCAGAGGTGAAGGAAGTACCATAATTTACTACCTTAGCAGAGAAAAAACGATGATTAGCTTAAAGAAGCCAGCTGTGCTGGAGGTCACAGAATCTGGAAGCAAAGAAGCTATCTACCCCATGTCACTGCTGTAATCTTTCTTTCYTCTGCATCGCTGCTATTTTAGATATATAAAAGAAGTTCAGTGCTGTTGGGTTGATTGTTAATCCTGTTAATTTTTTGTACAGAAATATGAGTGAGGAGAACAGTACATCCATCCTAGAGACCTATCCCAATACTTACAGTGTAAATGGGATTTTGCTTCCAAGCAACTTCCCAGGTTTTACATTAGGTCTTCTGTGGATGCATGGTTGTGACTGGGACTAAGACATGGAGGTTAAGATTCTGCACCTAAGAAAGTAATGTATTTTTCTTGCAGGTTATTTGAAAATGATCTCAGACAAATGAAGCAAGCTTCTAATTTGTATCTAATTGACGTCTAATCAACTTATTAAAAGGAGAAATATACGAGGCCCTCAAGCAGGGCCTAAAGTTTCTGGACAATTGCTTTAAGCAATTTGCTTTCAGTACATTCTGGGATCAAGGGCTTAATGTAGAGAACAATCAAAGCAAAATCCAGTTTATAACCTGACAGAGAGCCTGTATATTTTCCCAAAGGATTTTTTTTTAAATCTTTTTTTTAAAAAAAAACTTGTTTTAAGAGGCTATTTAGCATGTTTTCAATGTCTTTGCAAATGCTAACATATTGCCTAACACAAAATCCTTGGTAAAAGAAGCAAATCAGCAGGCACCCGATTAATTCAACATAAGAGCTCTCTAGTTTCCTTTGCAAGGTGCCAGWTCCTTTAAGATATTAATGTCACCTAGTAGTTGTTTGGTATATCTGGTTTCACTGAACAATTAATTGCTGTYATTTGCTCACTTGAAAGACAAAGTCCCGCAATTAATCGTCTAGCATGAAATTTGTTTTCGCTGCTGTTGACATGAGATTTCAATGAAGTCCATTAAACACATGAGGCTAAGCTCTTAYTCATATTCTTTGATGCTTCAATCCCTTTGAATGCGCATCAGTAATCCCCATTGTCAAAGAAATCTGAGCACCATATTTGATCTCCAAAACCTCTTCTTTGTTCCCTTTTTATTTCTCTGGTCAATTCTCTCTCTGAGTAATAAATTCCAGAAAGATCTTCAGGTACTGAGAAGTCAGGAGGGAAGTTTTGAATGAGATTTACTAGGTTGTTCTGTCAGATGAAGTTCCCTAGTGGTTATTAAGGGACTAATTCTGTCACCATTAATAACTTCTAAGGGATCAGAGGAGTCGGCAGCAGGGAATTGAACTCCACTCCATGCAATTGAATGGGCTCCCACAGAGGCACGAGGGAATCTGCCCACCAGGAGACGGGCTGAAGCCTAAATCTTGCTGTCAAAACTCTCCTAACAACGTGCTGTGATACCTACCAGCATTATATAAAACTGCAGCGAGATGAAGCAGCAGGATGTAACAGGGCTGCCCCTGGACRAGCTGCCCTCGTGAGGCCGAAGGCTCCGGATGCCCTGCGCAGCTGCAGGCTGCTCTCGGCACAACCCCTGCCTGGGGAGACTTCGGCGCTGAAATGCAGCAGGGAATAGGAAAACTGGAGCATCCAAAAGCAGCGGCTGAATGCTCACTGGTTTTGAACGGTGCGAGTTAGGAAACCATGAAGCAACTCACCAAAAAGCTGGGAAATCGTGACTCCTGTGCTCCACTAAATTGCATGAGTGACTTCAGCTCAAATTAAAAGCTAGGGAGGCAGGCTCCTCATTTTCCTTCTTTTCTTCTRCAACGGTTGTTTTGAATGTATTTTTACTGCCAAGAAAGCACGAGAAATTTATGGCACTGGAATCTTTGCATGTGGGGGAGTGTAGGAGTAGGAGTTTGTCTTAGCTCATGTCAACTGCTGCTGAGAAAAATYACTGCTGCAATAATTTCACAACAACCTGTACTCTCCGTGTCTGGACAGGTCTCAGTGGCCTCAGAGGGATGTCATGAACATGGAGCTCAGTCTGCCCCTGCACAAACCAGGCACTAGGTCCCGTTCAGCTCCATCATGAACTGTATGGAAAAGCTTTTCCTACAACACAATGACAAAGCTTTACATGGGGAAGACACCAATAGGAAAAATGGGCATGAGATTCTGACACTGAAAGATGCTGAAAAAAAAATCAATGGAAAGAAGTATTGGGCTTAGGAATAGAAAGGATACTCCATATCCTTGAGGAAGGGTAGGAAAAATCTGGGGTGCTGACCGAAATAGAGTAGGGCTGTATGGGTTTGGGTTTGATAAAGCAGAGAACTGTTAATGCAGAGCACTGATGAAACCATTTGAGAGCAAGGAGACAGTTTCTTCTCGACATAAAGCTCATAAAAATAAGGGTATTTAAGAAGGACACATCAGCTTTATCCTGTTCTGATGTTGTCTATAGGATGATGTCTATAGGATCATGTTGTTCGTGCTACTACTATGAGGAAGACACGGCTGTAGCAGGTTCGGAGGGCGTCATCCCAGAGGACTCTGCTGCCATAGTCGGAATGCAGGTATTTTCTAAAGCACCTTCATCACAACAAGGAAATGAACACAGAGCACACATTAAACCCTCTGTTTGGCCATCAGTGACAAGAAACTTTCTTGCACTGACACCCCCCCACATCAATGGGRGCAACATGAGTTTGGGAGCTGGGAGCCGCCAGTTCCCAGCCCTTCCGTCTGCTTCCAGGCATGTTGCTGAACGCCCTCCCATCTGCCCACAGCTTCTGTAAAATGCCCTGAGACACCAGGATCAACAGCACAAGGTGAAGAGCAGGTTCTTGGAGATACATGGCCATGAAAAAGCATCTGAAAGGCCACAGACCCCACACTGCCCCCTTGCACCTCAACCCATGCACTGATGCAACTTCAGCAAGAGATGGGCAGCCCAAGGACACACTTCCCACCATGTGCCATACTGGGTAATGTATATCCTGAGGGTTCAGCCACCAGGGAGCAGATGAGGCAGGTCTGAACCCCTGCAGATGGGCAGAGTCATCACACCTGGTGTCCTCATTCCTGAGCAAGGATTCTCACCGTGAGGAACTGCGTGATGGCCACGAGCACCTTTTCCCACGGCTCTGTTTCAAAGAAAGCAGAAGGAGTCCTKGTGGTTCCTTCCAGGAGTGCCAGGTGCCAGCTGTGCAGCGGRTGCAAGGGTTGCTCCGCATCCTCCAGCACGGGCTGAGCCACTGCTCACACTCCCTGTCCCACGGGCACACAAGTCTCTGCAGGTGGCAGAGCAACCCAGCACTGAGCTCCCCAGCACTGTCCCCAACAGGGCGCATTTTGACACTTGCCACCACCACCCTGGCAAACGGTGGTACATAAGGAAAAAAGGGTTGGGTTTTTTGGATCCCAGCCACTGACTATGACGTGGAGAGCCCTCACTCAAGGTTCCCTATTTGTCTCTGAGCTGAGGTGACACACTCTGGTGTTGCAAGAACTTGCCAG